GACATTAATCATATGGACTTCTTCAACCATTACTTATTCCAAAACAACCATGGTCTTTTATTTCTATGGATTTTATTATAGAACTTTTAGTCTCAAGATTGTATAATTCTATATTTGTGATAGTAGATCGTTTTACTAAAATGACACATTTTGTACCATGTACAAAATCTATCACTAGTGAAGAAACTGCCAAGCTTTTTTTTGATAATATCTATTGATATCATGGCTTGTCGAAAGATATTATATCAGATAAGGAAATTCAATTTGTATCAAGATTTTGGAGAATTCTTTTTAAGATTTTAAAGGTGGACATAAAGCCTTCTTTAGCCTTTCATCTTCAAACTGATGAACAAACAGAGTGCATAAACTAAGTTTTAGAGCAGTACTTAAGTTATACTAATAATTATCAATAAGATGATTGGAGAACCCTCTTGCCATTAGCAAAGTTTGCTTATAATAATACAATGCATTCTTCTACATAACAAATATCTTTTTTTGCCATTTATGGTTAACATTCATAACTTGATACTTTTGACTTTTTAAAAGTTGATAATCCTATGGCAGAAGGTTTGGCAAATTATTTATTAAAGCTACATGCAACAATGAAGGTGCAATTAAAGGAAGCTCAAGGATGACAAAAAATCAGTGTAGATGCCTCTTGAACGGAACAACTACAATTCAATATAGGTGACAAGGTATGGTTGCTTTGTTGTAATATTAAGACTACTCGTCCTTGTGATAAATTAGACTACCGCAGGCTTAGATCTTTTCTTATTTGTTGACAAATCAATCCAGTTGCTTATTGATTATATCTACCAGAGGCAATGAAGATCCGTCTTATCTTCCACATATCTTTTCTTGAACCATATAAGACTTTGAACATATCAAAAAGAAGACAAGTTCAATCTCTTTTTATAGAAGTAGACAATAATGAAGAGTTCAAAGTAGAAGAAGTTCTAGACTCAAGATAGTGCTAAAATAAATTAGAATATCTTATCCATTGGCACGAATAAGATATTAGTGAATGCACATATGAGCCAATAAAGAATCTTATAAATGTAGTAAAGGTGGTGGGCACTTTTCATTGACAACATCCATCTAAATCAAGATGAAGAATAATAAGTCTTTGCTATAAAAGAAACAAGGTCTAGAAAAGATTGCATTCCATCTTCTATCTTTCTTTGTAGCTTTTATATATTTGTGATGCTAAGGAGATGGAGAACTGACAACCAACAGATTCAACTCAAGAACTTTCATTTGTAGACATACCAAACGAGTCATTACAATTGTCACAACCTTTAAGATGATAAAAACAAGATGAAGATATTGAAGAACGACATGTCATTCCTCAAATAAATGGCGAGATACAAAGTTTTTGGTATCATGACCTTGGAAGAGACTCATGATCTTTGGTGATTTTATTAGAGGTAGGAACAACTCTTGGCAGTGTTTTAAATATTTTATTTAAACGAAGTTACAAAGTCATCAACAACAACCAAATAACAAGGTGGTCTTCTTGCCTTGGTATGAGACACTATCAATGCTTGAGAGGGCCTATCAACTATCTTCAAAGAGAACAAAGATTGGAATATATGACAAATATAATTTGCTATATCTTAGATTTCTTCAACATATGAAGACCGCTCTTCATAGAACTTGTTTCTAAAAGAGGAGGTAGTGTCATGGACATACACATGTAAATCAATAATTACTTATATGATTTAGATAAAATTAGGTAAAAATAAATTAATTCCATAATATCTTCTATAGAAGCTTTTTAGAAGCTTCATAGATGCTACTTTGACTTTATAGATGTCTTTTATTGACTTTTTAGATTAAAAAAATAATCAATAACTTGGCCATGTGCCATATATGTTGGTAGCTTGAAGAATAAGCTAACTATGTGGCTTACACATAAAAAACTTGTCTTATAAGTAAAGGCATATGTCCTGCAAAGTCAATACATATTAAAGGTCCTATAGAACATCACTGCATAACTCCTAATTAGATAGTATATATAGAGGCAAGAGTAAAGCCCTCTTCATTCTTGTCAACTTCTTTTTTGCTTTTAGTTTAGATTTAAAGAGCCTCTAGTTTCCTTGTCTTTTGGCAATAGCCATTCTAATTTTTTTTAATATACATATTACTTTATTATTATTTTATTACTTTTCTTTTAATACAAATTTTTTAAGTTTATGCATCTTCTTCTAGTTTATGTCTTTGATACCTATTCTATTTCAAAATTCATCCATATATTTTTAAAATATAAGTACATTTTCATGTTCATGAAGCTTGTCATGACTTTCTAACAAGCAGATATTTTTGATACAATAAGACTTAGGAGCTAATATTAAAAGATTTTTGGTAGCCTCAAATGTCAAAGACAATTAAAGTTTTTGTACAATCATGTGATATTTGTTCTAGATCAAAAACTCCTTGTCATCAATCTTATGGACTTCTTCAAGCATTACCTATTTCAAAACAATTATGATCTTTTATTTCTATGGATTTTATTATGAATATCTCAATCTCAATTTTATATGATTCTATACTTGTGATAATAGATCATTTTATTAAGATGGATATTTTCTACCATGTATAAAATCTATAACAAGTGAAAAAATAGCTAAGCTTTTTTTTGATAATATCTATTGCTATCATGGATTGCCCAAAGATATTATATCAAATAAGATAATTTAATTTATATCAAGTTTTTGGAGAAACCTTTTTAAGATTCTAAAAGTGGATATAAAGCTCTCTTTGGCTTTTTATCTTCAAATTGATAAGCAAACTAAATAGATGAATAAAGTTTTAGAGTAATATTTAATGGATATCATTAATTATCATCAAGGTGATTAAATAAGTCTTTTATTGTTAGCAAAGTTTACATACAATAATTTAGTATATTCTTCTATTCAATATATATATATATATATATATATATATATATATTACTAATTATGGTTATCATCCATGACTTGATACTTTTGACTTTTTAAAAGTTCATAATCTTGTGGCATAAGATTTGACAAATTGCTTATTAGAGCTCTATGCAACAATGAAGATACAATTAAAAAAAAAAAAACTTAAAAATGACAAAAGAACAATGCACATGCTTATTACAAGGAACAATCACAACTCAATGTGGGTGACAAGGTATGGTTACTTCATCGTAATATCAAGACTACTCATCTTTGTAACAAGTTAGACCATTATAGGCTTGAAATTTTTTAAATTTGTAAAAAATTCAATCATATTGCTTATCAATTATATCTATCAAATTTTATAAAGATCCATTCCGTATTCTATGTATTTTTTTTTTTGAACCATAGAAGATAATTTATATTTTGAAAAAAAGACAAATACCACATCTTTCTATAGAAGTAGATAATAATTAAGAGTTCAAAGTCGAAGAAGCCTTAGATTCAAGGTAGTACCAAAATAGATTAAAATATCTTATTCATTGATGTAGATATGATATTAATGAATGTACATAAAACCTAACAAAGAATCTTGCAAATTTAATAAAGAAAATTTAGGATTTTTATCAACGACATCCATCAAAATCAAGATAAAGAATAACAAGATCTATGAAAGATGATGATTGCTTCTCATATAACTCGTCTCTAAAAAAAAAGATAATATCACAGATATATATATTTACTCTATTAGTTATCTATATGATTACATAGAAGTAGATATTAATAAATTAATTTTATAATATTTTTTAGAAAAGCTTCTTAAAAGCTTTATAGACGTGGTTTTAACTTTATATATGTTTGTAGTTGATTGATAGGTCAAAAACTTGGTCAATAAGTTAATTACGTGCCTCACATGTTAGTAGCTTACAGAACAAGCTAACCATATGGCGCACTTATGTAAAACTTGCCTTGCAAGTTAAGATATGTATTTAGCAAAGTCAACATGTATTGGAGGTCCTATAAAACATTACTATATAGCACTTAGTTAAATAGTATACATGGAAGCAAGAGTGAAGCCTTCTTTACTTTTGTCAATACTTTTTTGGTTCTTAGTCTTGTTTCAAGACTCTCTAAACTTTTTGCCTTTGGCAATAGCTATTCTACTTTAATATATTATACTCTTTGAATAATCTCCTAGTCTTTTCGAGTGACACAAAAATGCATTGAGATTTTCTTTCTTTGAGATTCATGTCTTTAATAGGTACATCTTTTGATAAAAATAAAAAAAAAAAAATCTTTCTTTAAAAGTCTTAGCTTTTTGATATTGTATGAAGTAAAAAGAGACTATAAAATAGATCAAATCATTTTTTCATTACAATTCCATATATATATCAATTCAAATCTTTATTTTAAAATTTATAAAAAATACATTAATCTACTTTTAGAATGCTAAATTGAAGCATTTTTTGATACAACTTTCCAATTTTTAAAAAATCTATTTGAAATGGATCCAAAAAAAATCCTAGATAATTATGTCATTTATTTCATGTAAGAAAAAAAATACATTCCACCTCATATTTTCTTCTTAGAACCTTAAGACTTATTTTTCTTAGCACAATGCTAACTTAAGGAGATTTTTCAATTTCATCTAACCAAAAATTGAAAAAATCCATCCTCTCATCTTTTCTCCTAAACTTAAGGTGCCCAAAAGAAAGACAGTTGCATTGTAACACTTCTCATCTCTTAAAAGCTTGACCACTACACACAAATACAACAAATAATATACATAGAGTAAATGGAATTAAACCGTCAACATTTTTCATCTCGTCAGCGACAACACCATTGGGAACAGAGCAGGAAGGGAACAAGCTCCCTCATGTACGAATAAAGGGAACATAGAAAAGTCAAGTACTAGAACTTTCCTGCCACGACTCCAATTGTCCACCACTTTGTCACCCAGATATTCACATAATGCAAGCAGCCACGTCAGACAGAGAAAAACACGTGGAGGCGGCATACGACGTCCATGTAGCTACCTACCCAACTGGGGGGAGGGGTTACTTTCCAACTCTGGGAATGGCCACCTCGCTGGCTGGCTCAGGGAGTTCAGCGCGACGCTGCCGCTTTCGCACCCTGGTGCTGCGACAAAAACCTGTCTTCAGTGCTCGATTGTGTTCCTTTTCCGTGCCGTATCGGACACCACTGAGATCCACCCCTTACTCTCCGTGATTCTCCGGTCAGATTGGTGGTCGGATCTCTGGATTTGAGCTCAATTTGAGGGAGAGGGGGCTTGGGTGGGAGTTTGAGCAGGGCAGAGCAGGGTAGAGTGAAGGAGGGAGCTCTGCGCGCGTTTGAGATTTGTTGACGTCGAGATGGCGGACTTTGGCGGAGGACCAGACGAGGACAAGAATATTACGATATGGAAAATTAAGAAACTCATCAAGGCCTTGGAGTCGGCTCGCGGCAATGGAACGTCCATGATTTCGCTCATCATGCCTCCTAGGTGTGTTTCGGGTTGCGGATTGTGTGTGAGCGAAGGAGCAACAGAGAGAGAGAGAGAGAGAGAGAGAGAGAGAGCGAGAGAAAGAAAGAGGTGTGAGTTTAGGCAGTCTCTTGAGGAATTTGTGGTATTCATACAAGGCGGTGATGGTGTTCTTGGTGCGCTAATCTTTGCATATCTTATTGTAGCGAAATTATGCATTTCGGATTATTGATTGGAGGGTTTGGTATGGTGGTTGTGTTTTAGGGATCAAGTTTCCCGGGTGACTAAGATGCTCGGAGACGAGTTTGGGACAGCTTCCAATATCAAGAACAGGGTGAACAGGCAGTCCGTGTTGGGAGCCATCACGTCTGCGCAGCAAAGGCTGAAACTGTACAACAAGGTGCCCCCAAACGGGCTGGTGCTGTACACAGGCACAATTGTGACGGACGATGGCAAGGAGAAGAAGGTGCATATACATGGGATGTATTTTGTGTGCATTGGATGTCGGGTGTGCGTGGGGATTGTGGAATGGTGAGGTCGGGGTGGAGTGTAGCGTGAGAGGAGGATGGTGAGGATGAAGTGTGGGAAGGGGATTGAGTGGAAGATGGTTGGTGGTGCAGGTGACGATCGACTTCGAGCCGTTCAAGCCCATCAATGCATCGCTGTATCTGTGCGACAACAAGTTCCACACGGAGGCGTTGAACGAGCTGCTGGAGTCGGACGACAAGTTCGGGTTCATCGTGATGGACGGAAACGGGACGCTGTTTGGGACTCTGAGCGGGAACACGCGCGAGGTGCTGCACAAGTTCACGGTGGATCTACCGAAGAAGCACGGTCGTGGAGGGCAGTCGGCGCTGCGTTTCGCTCGGCTGCGGATGGAGAAGAGGCACAATTACGTGCGGAAGACGGCGGAGCTGGCGACGCAGTTCTACATCAACCCGGCGACGAGTCAGCCGAATGTGTCAGGTAGGGGGGATGGGGGATGTGAGTGGGAGTGGGGCATGTGTGCATGTGGAGTGCGGGGTTTAAGGAGTGATGGCGAAGAGAGAGAGAGAGAGAGAGAGAGAGAGTGTGGTGGTGATATTGAGGGTTGTGTGTGTGTGGAGCGTAGGGTTGATTCTGGCGGGTTCGGCGGATTTTAAGACGGAGCTGAGCCAGTCGGACATGTTCGATCCTCGGCTGCAAGCGAAGGTGCTGAACGTAGTGGACGTGTCGTACGGGGGGGACAACGGGTTCAACCAGGCGATCGAGCTGTCGGCGGAGATTCTGGCGAACGTAAAGTTCATACAGGAGAAGAGGCTGATCGGGAAGTACTTCGACGAGATCAGTCAGGACACGGGGAAGTACGTGTTCGGGATCGACGACACGCTGAAGGCTCTGGAGATGGGGGCGGTGGAGACATTGATCGTGTGGGAGAACTTGGACACGAACCGATACGTGCTGAAGAACGCGGTAACTGGGGAGATCGTGATCAAGCATCTCACCAAGGAGCAAGAAGCGGACCAATCCAAGTATGACATTTTTTTCTGTGGCTGGTTTTCGTAACTTGTGTTGTGTAGGGAAGGCATGCACTGTGCAGTTGGTATTGGATTTATTGTTTTCTGATGTGTCAACGAAAGTTATTGATGTACAGTTTTTTTAATCATATTTGAATTTGTCGTGTGTACCTGTTACAGAACAATGATTTTTATGTATCGTTCTCATTTTTAAGTTGAATCTTCTAGGTCAGATTTGATTAGGAAGATAGGGTGTTTTAAGCTTCTGGTGGACATCGTGTGTACCTAATTTTTGCTACACGTTGTTTACATTACGTTATGGTTGATACCTGCAGCTTCAGGGTGTCAGAGTCTCAGGCAGAGTTGGAGGTTCAGGAAAAGTTGTCACTTTTGGAGTGGCTTGCTAATGAGTACAGGAGTTTCGGTTGTGCGTTGGAATTTGTTACGAACAAGTCTCAGGTATTTAACATATTTTTTGGTTGTGGGATGTGACCTTATCCATCGATGTGTCATAGAATAAGGGTAAGAAGTCTTTCTGCTGATGATATTTGTTTTGATTGTATGTTATCTGAAATGAATCTGGGCGGCGTCGGTGCTGAAGGTTCGGTGTGTAATCTTTAAATGTGTATCTTGTTCTGTCCTACAGGAAGGGTCACAGTTTTGTCGAGGATTTGGAGGATTCGGTGGAATTTTGCGTTATCAACTTGATATGCGCACGTTTGACGAATTATCAGACGGAGATTACGATGAGGATTTTGATGAGGATTATTAGATGAACATATGCGATTAGTATGACCTCAAGAACTCCAATTTAGGCTGCAATTCAATGGAAAATTATTTCTACCAAATTTACCTTGCACTAGGTTACAAAGACGGTCACGGTGGATATATTTTCATCTCAGTGGGTCTAGGATGTAATTATAGTAAGCATTTGGTGGGAGTTGTGACCAAGCTCCATTGTTAGCACGTATGCTCTTGGCACAACTTTTTACGGGTAATCCTCGGTAGCGGGATGTGAGCTGAAGTTGTGTTCTGCAAACTTGTACAGAATAGAGTAAGTAGGAAGATTGCAAGAGTGGCGAGTAGGCAATGTGTGCACCCTCAAAATGGAGGTGCATCCTCAGAAATTTTGTCTCAAAGTTCGGGGATTAGTTCAAGGCACTGGTAACTGTTCTGGTTGCTTTGAGGCTACATTGCTGTATATTGCCCATGAGATCTTGATTTCTGCGGCCAGAGTGAACGAAGCACACGTAGTGTACAATTTGTGCAAACCCTTTCAGTTGAGAGCTATCTATAGCCCAACTTCAGATAATTTAATAACTTTGATGATTTCTCTCTATTAAGTATTTCAATGATATGTATTTTTGGAATACAAATTCATGAGAAAGTACTCGTTGTAGTTACTGAATCAAACAAAACTTCTGAAATGATTGACTTAAAGAAAATAACTTATGCAATATTGAATTTCAATTAAGATTTCTTTAATCTTCGCTTGCATACCTGAATATATTTCATTCCAAGAATAGAATGTAAATTACCTTATATTACACTCTACGTGGATAGTTTTTTTTATATTTTATTTTTCCATTTTTATACAACGATTTTCACAAAACGAATAAAACATACATTTCCATACGAAATCATCCAAGCATAATTTCTTAGGCTACTTCAATTTTAACATGCTAGGTTTTGAGAATAGATAATGTATTGATACATTCCTGCAGTCTATGGTATTCCACAACTCGAAACTTTTACTGATCACGAAGAGCATTCTAGGTCCATGACCAGAATTGCACAATAATAGCCAAGTAAATTTGACTCTCAACTCCCTAAGAACATTTCTCGCAAACTCAACTCATCAACAACTTACTAGAAAAAGAATCACAATAACTATATGAAATTAAAAAAATGCTTGAGCTGCAGGGTTATTTGACTCGAGACCTGTGCGAATCAGGAAAGCGTTCAAATGATTTCATGCTGATTGTTGGACAAAATATCACAATTCAGCTTTGAGCTCATCTGTCCATTTCCCAAGTATTTCATTTTCTAATCCACACATGGTTACCACGTTCTCGGTCCTGTATCATGTATTTTGTATGCAGGTGACTATGATCACAGCAAGCACCTCTACGACCTGCTCAGCTTCGCTAGCCTGGATGAGGGCACTGTGCAGAAGGATCTTTATAAAATCTGTAAAACAGCCTGAATATCTAGAAATCCTGGTTCAAGTACCCACGCATTGCTGTGACCGGAAGTTCGGATGTGCGAGGAGTCGTACCACAAGCTCTTCAAACCTGCGTGAACCTGGTCCAGGTCTCAATAAAGTGGGATCTCCTCGAACTCCACACGGATCGTCATTTAAGCCTATACACCAACCACCCGGAGTGAATTCATTCATTCTCCGATTAAGTATTTCTCTGTCAATTTTATCCAACACTGCACTGCCCTTGTCGAATTTCCGGGCAAAAGGTGCGCCGCTCTTGGTCATGTTGCGATAGAAAGTAAAGGAGAGGGTTATTGGGTGTTGCCGGGGAGGATTGTGCCATGCGATGAAGTGCAGATCATGATTGACAGTTGTGTTGCGAAATTCTCTGCTGTTGCATATTACAGTCTGAAAGTAGCCTTCAGGGGACGACAAAAAGTTTGTATAATACATCAATGCCGTGCGTGGGAGGTTGTCCCAACCCACATTGCAATACTCCATGAATGAGCGTGTTAGTGCGATCCATGCTGAGCCTGCAAAAAGGACCAGCAACAGTCAAATTCGGACCTTATGAGTACCTTCACTACGTGTGGCATACCAATCTCCGAACATGACTCATTATGTAAACTAAAATTCGCACCTGTCAACAAAAAGTACACAGAAGCGAGAAAAATGTTGTGTCCAATGCTAAAATGAAAACATTGGCATCAATGGTGTATATATAAAGCTACTTGGAAACTGTTGGGCTCATCCAGGATTCATTTAAAAGTTGACTTTCAGAGGGAAAATAAATTAAGCCCAGCACGAGAAGCCACACCTGTAAACAAACGAAATGCAGATGGTGAGGCCCGCTTCTGTGTAGTCCAATAGATGTTAGTTTTTTTTTTTTGATACAGTCCAGGGTCCATGATGATGGGCCTCGCTCGCTGGAACCTGCAATTATGTAAACCAAGTATACGTGTCATTCAGAATTCACGGTGATGCCTGGTAGAATCCAACACCAACAATCAGTGTGTGCTCAATACGGACATTGTTGCACAAAGAACTGAAAATTGCAACTTTGAAGTATATTAAACACACTCTGAACGCAAACTGGACTACACAGGGGAATGCACGAGAATATAACATATATAAGACGTCATTATTTAGTCCAAATAAGGCTCAATGCTTAAACCAGGAACTACCTGCTTACGAGGTTAATTGCCTGATGAAATTTCGTCAACAAATAGGTCGAGATTTTTAAGTCAGATACAAAGATGTTCTACTTACTCTTTCCAACCTAAAGCACTTGTATGCTCGATGAAATTGAGGTCCTTTGGCAAGTATGAGAAAACGTGAAGAAGATCTGCATTCACAGTGGACGAGTTCAACAAGGGTATTCCAGATGGTGACATCAGGTATGAGTGATGCCATGAAGTATTCGAGGTGATTGAAAAAGTGTGGGGTACCAACACGTTTTCAAAGAAGCTAATTTTCTATGTAATTGATGAATAAACAATGATCCCAATAGATTACTCAAGCAACTGCGAAGAGGAGAATAGGCACCATAAATAACGAAAGGAAAAACACAAACATTGAAGCCAAGAGAAATACAACTCACCATCTTGAGTGACCAGAGGATAGTCCGATGCGCTCAGATTAATGAACCAATCCCAATCCTTGGCTTTTCTGAGCAAGATAGCGGCTCCATGTAACGTTGCAGCGACCATTGTTGGTCCTCTGTATGTCACCAAATTAGACTTCCCAATCACGAATACATTCATCACCTCTTCGTACACGAGCTGTTTCTTCACATGCCACACCAACTCCGCGCGTTCACGCATGGGTGCTTCAAGATCCAAGTGGAGAAGATAATAATTGTGGGGGTGGTACAAGGCCCGAAGTAATCGTTGCATCCGGCGACCGTCACCTTTAGTGCCTGATATCAAGTACGCAAGCTTGGGTGGAGGCGGCAGGATAGCCATTGTCCTATTGTTGGTAATCTCTAGAGTACTTTGAAGCTGATTAGAATATCTGCTTCGTTGCACCGAGAGAACAGGTTGATAGCCACGGAATCCCCATGTGAGATTTGCTAGTAGTAGGAGTGCAATAGAGATCATGGCACTGGCCAACAATGACAGAATCCATCTCTGTTCCATGTTGGACACAGAAAGCGATACTTGCATCAGCTTCCTCATCTCATACGCAGCCTTCTCAGCACTTCTAGAGAATCGTGACGATGTAGGCAACCTGCTCTGAGACAGAGAACCTACTCTCATCATTTTCTAAGGGCAGTCCCAGCGGGAACCAGTCGCCAACAAGGACCTGAAGTAAGCTCTGTAGAGCAATTGAGGTGAAATGAAACAGAGACTCTTTGTAGCCAAAGCAACCCTACAACCACATGCTTTTTTTTCGGAGTCAAAAACTCTGAAGACAATTCATGAGGTTTCGGTTTCCAAAGCGAAATTCTAGCGTTCATCACGTGTCAGCTTGCATAGCATCATAGTGAACGCAACGTTTCGAGGACAACCGCAGATACTCTGGGCTCGAAAAATCTCTGAATCCTGAGATGCATTGATCAATGCAGATCACAAACCTAAAGCACTCTCCTACCAATGGATCTAACTCAAAACTTGTGTTCACCAGTTGGTGTACCGAGTGACGAAAAGACTGCAATCCATCTCATAATATACACAGGAGAGTTCTTGAAATCAGCATTCTAGCTGTATAGTATAAGGTGTGATCCGAGGCGCATTGAACATCGGAGCAAGATCCCAGCTGGATTACATTCAAGTGCACATTGAGAATGGCTCCACGAGACTTGCTACACCCCAAATTTACAACTCTGTCTCTGAAAGCCAAACATCACTATTCAATTCCTTGGGCTTACATTGCAGTCGGTTCAAGTTTTGAAGCAGATTCAACAGAATCATACAGGGGTGGCCTTGCTGCACATTATCCGAAAAAAAACGACACAATAGCACATTCCCTAAATGAGAACCCATTTCTCCTCGCTATTCCGAAATCCCACCTAACCTATCCCTCGCATCTCCGCCGTATCTGTACGTCAAGATTCTCACAATTCGCCACTGAATCGCGGACTCAATGAAACCCAACTGCGAGGAATAGATCCTTTACGACGCATTCTCTGACTCCTACAACAACCGCCGCATTTTGCAGAGCGATTCTAGGAGACAGAGGAGAACGTCGGCCTCTGCCAACGCCACCAACGCCACCAACTCCAACAACTCCCACTATCACCACCTACAATTGCCCGACCCACATGATCAAGCCAAATTATCATGCAAAACCACGTGCACAGAAATTGCTCAAATAAAGCAGAAGAAGAGGACCAAAAAATCATGTTGATAGCGCGAAATGTAGGTCGAGTGGGCGCCAAATCCGCGACCGAAGTGCGTGCCGAATGGTAGGGGTAGGGGCAGGGGCAGGGGCAGGGGATCTATTCTTCAGATAGATCTACGGCAATACGTGCCCTATGCTATTGAAGTTCGAGTTGGATGATATGGAATGTGCCTCAATGACTCCGTCGCACCTTCCTTCCCCGGCCATAACACCAGACGAATGGGAATTTTTTCCACCTACTACTATTTGGATTGGGTGGTTGGTTCTAAATTAGAAACTAACTGAACTCGATTCCTGTTGCGGTGGGCGTCTCCAAGTTTTCATTTACGTGTGAACCTTGCTTGAATCGCTTGGGGGGAGGCAAAGCCGCTTTCAGAGATAAGCAACTTGCAATCAGCTACGGCTCTTCTTGTCTTCCCAAGTCAAAGATCTACATTGGAACTCAACGGCAAGCGCCGTTACTGCCGATGCTTCCGCTATGGATCTATGAGTCTGTTTGGTATGAGTCGCATTGCACGATAGTCAGTTTCACTCTTCCGGGATTCCTCATCTCCAACTTCATGATGTAGAGCACGTTAGATTACGATCTGCGATTATCAATGCAATCACTATTGCCATAACTATGTTGGGTTATTTCAATAAAGATGTTCCAGGAGAGGGAACAACCTCTGGAAAAATTTGTCATTGATCAACCAAAGTGAGGTGCATACATTCACCCAGTGTACCATGAATGCTTCCGCTTGAAATTGCGAGGCGGATGTAAACCACTCTCCATTCAAGCTTTTTGTTTCAGCCAGAAACCGCTTTGATTTGCATTACAACGCCTCTAGAGGCTTGCATCACGCAATAGAATTAAAATGTATGTCATCAACTCATTGGGTTTCATATTACGAGTATCACGGAGGAGCTGGTACATCAGATTTATTACTTATCAATACCCTCCACAAACATCCAAGACCTCTAAGTCATAACATGAAAAGGATAACAAAAAGAATTGGAACGTCAAGAAAATTTGTACTGAATCATGTTCAGTCTTCACTGTCAATGAGACAAGTCGGCTAGAGATTCTGTCTGCACCAGGAGCCTGAGAACGACCGTGTTTAGGCAATCTCTCAATATTGGAGATTACACCTGAAGTATCAGCAAATAATCCCTACAGCCTTTTTGCCCTATTTATCTGCGTAGATTGCGCACGAAGTCTTCCCGTTGTGTCCTGCGAAAAGAATATGTTCAGCTTAGAGACCTTGTTTCCTGAATCTCTGCCATGATCGTTAGCGCCAGTCAATCTTGCGCAGAATTCTGAGAAATAGATTCGAGTCGTCCCCACAGCCAAGTTTGTAGAAAGCCTGACTATGTGCATTGCTGCAGGCGTAAGGCCCATCATCCCTGCAGAATTAGGGCGTCTGGAGTGCGGTGATTCCGATTACCAAGAATCTCGTATGCTTCTACGGAGTGTACCGAGGACTGCATTTAAGTAGTATGAAGAGAATCACTAGACTGTGCAGTCCTTGCCGTCATAGGGAAAGAATGTTAGGGTTTTCAGCGTTCCTCGAGAGGTCGAATTGCAATTCCAAGTTCACGGAATGGCAGGTTCGAAGGTAGACTTTCGCCGTGACCTGAACCTTTGTTACTTGTAGAGGAGGATGCCACAAAAGGTGCTGCTGAATCAGCTAAGGTATTGGGATCTGGCAGAGATGGAGGGTCTTCGTGAAGAGTATCAACCTCAGAAGTGGCCTCCGAGACGGAGTCGTCGGTGTAGCCTACCATGGATTTCTGAGGGACTCCCTGGAACTCCCTCCTGCGCCGGGCATATCGTTTCTGTCCCCTTCTCTGTGGGCTTCCAGCTGGAGAGAAAGCACCGACAGGGGTGCCCATTCCTTCCCTGTATGTGCCCACCCCTTGCTCCGCTCCACAATCGTCATCTCTTGTCCGCCGAGAAAAGCTTGCCTTAGCAAGCTCCCTCAACATCCTCAGCTCCTCAGTTTTGTTGTCCTTGCTCGAACCTTTTGATTTCTTTCCCTCGATAGCTCTCTTACTGCTCCACGTTTTCTGAGCTTCTTCTTGTCGAAGTTCCCCTGAGGGTGGACCACTGTCTCCATCCCTTGATTTACCTCGATAGGATCTGGGATCGATAAACGCTGGCGATTCAGGATGGTACAGAGAGATAAAAGCTCCAGGAGTTGTGGCGATTTCCAGTGGGCTGCCCAGGTGGGCTGTGCTATCTTGTATATGTCTTTCCAGCGTACCCCGTGGCGCATTTTCTCCTTTGATGGATCGTGAGGAAGAAAGCTGGGGTGCCGTTCCAGTCGGAGGTGGCGGAGGGAAGTTTATGAATCTTGACCATGTGAAACGCGGCATGAATGGGATTATAATGCCTCCTGCAAATTTGTTTGAAAGGGTTCAGAAAATGAAGACACAATCTGGAGGAATCGACGAGTACTCGTCGACGTTGAGGTACGGTGTAAAGCCGAGCGCCACAATTGCCTTTCTCATGGTACTCACGTTTCATAATGAGGCCTAAGAACTACACATAGGATTCTTTACTTGAACAAACGATCACTCACCTGCTAGCATTTTGAGGCCCTCCTTCAGAGAAGGCTCTTGTATTGTTGACAGATGCAAAAGTTGCTTCATGATTGCGTACCATTCATTCACCAGCTCCGCCACAAAACTGATGAGCAGGAACGCAATCATCAGAATTCCAATGGCGAAATGGTTCTCTGTTGGGTCCCCTTTAGCGAGCAGCGCTAAGGCCATTGAGAAAACCCCCACTTCACAGAGTAGAGAGATGGTTTCAACTAGTTGTACACTTCTTTTTCTGTAAGGCTTGACCAGCACGAGGTACAAGAGCTGCACGAGATGGATCCCAAAGACCAGCCCAGTTTGGCTCCAAGATTGATCTGACCGCGGATACGCCCCAAACAGCACGCCAAGAGCGATTCGTCGAGAAAGGTCCAGCAGGATGTAAGCTGCTCGAGCACAGCCCACTGCCTGATTGAAACAAGATGCCTCCACTTCATCACTATCATTTTCATCGGTGTCAACGCTATCAACGATGTTGCCTATTCCATCCCTCGTGCTGTTGTTGTTGTTGTACTTGTGAGCAATTTCCACAGCGATGATCCTGGGAGGGCCTTTGCGATCCTCAAAGAATAGCCCGTACCTCGGCAAGAACGTCAGTGCGAGACGACTCCTCCGAACCCACATTCCTGGAAATCCTGTGCCTGTGAGGTATGTTACAAGACCTCGGTTGGTTTGGATTTGAGAGGAGACATTGCTGTGATCCCGGGGACGGAATTCCTTATACTGTACTAGTGCTCGAAAGCAGACTCCGTGAACAACGAGAATTATCAAACAGAGCAAGAAAACTCCTGGGATTGAGAGCAGGAGGACACCAATTGCAATGCCAACAGTTGTGCCACCTGCATGGATTGGAGTGAATGAAACCATTAGAAAGTCATTTCTATCAATTACAACACCTGAAGAAGATTGACGCTGTTGTCTACATAGGGCATGGCTAATATGTTACACATGATGTATTGAAATACTGGACCGAAGAATGTTTTTTTTGCTGACCTCTGATGATGAATGCAGACGCTTGGCAGAGGCCAGGCATTACAAGAACCAAGAAGAAAAGCTCAGGCCGTGGAAAAATAAGAGCTCCTCGGAGAGATGATTTTGACCGTCTGCGTAGGAATTGCAAAACAAGTATGTGTAGGAGGCAAAAGCTTCCACCGACCACACAAATCCAGAAGATGTTCCTCTCGAAATCCTGCCATCTGCAACAGAATCAACAGACCGATTGCAAGGTGTGGGCAAAACCAAAGATGTCAACCACAAGGAGTGAAGGGTAGCGACTGTGGTTTGATCACCTATGATCAAACGTAGAACTGTTTGGCATGCGATTCTCACACTTCATTTTCCTCCGTCACAACAAATGCTATCACTCAGAAATTTGAGTAGTTCTTAGCTTACCCCGAATACTTTCTTTTCTTCATGCTGCTCATTCCTGGCCATGGATTCTGCAAAGTGAAGGAGTTCTAAAACTTAGGTGATCAACCTCGATAGCTACTGTAGATATTTCTCTCTGTAAATTAACTGGAAAAAAAAAATCCCTAGAAGCAAACAAAGCTTCGCAGCACGTTGACTGGAAACCATGTGCATTTACATGAGCTAGCCTAATGTGTTCTTGACAGGCTTAGATGTGATGACAACAGCATTGATCAAATGCAGTGTTTAGGAGCAGGACAAACATCAGATCCCGAAAACTTTACCGGTGGAGATCTTCAAAGAAAAGACGCAGGAGAGGGAGAGCCCTACCAGGAAATAAAGTTCGTAATCTTGGTGTTGAAAAGCGGGTCCATACATTGTCGTGTTGGTTCCCAGCATGCGTCCTCTATGAACAAGAGTTGAACCATAACTGGTTCCCGTTGCAAGTAATCGTCGTTTCCTTCCAAACGAGTTTCTAATTATCCTTGGGATGCTGGTCATAACCTCGTGCTCGATCTCAAATCCAGCGTTGGACATTTTCTGGTTATCTTGCCACGGGGTTCTCAGATGTGGTATCAGCCATTGCAGACCGTTAGTCACCTCCCGATACTCTATGGGAAGGCTCACAGATAACCAGTCTGACAGAGCAAAAATTTGAAGATGGCATGCCATGCCCTGCAACTCGCAACAGAGAGTTTACGTCAATGCTACAAGTTGCTAAACCTACAAAGTCTATTAGGCTTGTTTCTGAACATCCTAAATCCAAATCCCCTAATTAGGTCATTTTCTGTTGAACCACACACCATCCAATTACAAAAGAGGAACCGTTCATTGCTGCTGCTGTGACCAGTGACCACATAAACGAATACTCGGAAGGACCCACTATCAATGGCGTCTAGCATCTTCAAAGTCTCGCAGAAACAGAAACAGAAACAGAAACTACCACAGCACGTACCAAAAAGTTCCTTGATGGGTCATTTCTAATCGACCCAGGTTCTCCGTTAGATAAAGCCCCAACAGCCGCAAGAATTGTAGAGGAGACCGTAAGAACTCCCGACACGAAAGCAGTGGATAACAAACCCGCCGTTGTTAAGTAACACAGGCCAACTGAGACAGCTGGTGTTGTATCTGGCACATCAGGCACACCTTCAATCTTGCAGGCTTGAATTGTACTGAAATACTTTTCAAAGTTGCCATCACGCATTTAGTATCATCACGCATATAACTTAAGTTACATTTGCAAGCAAGCAAAGACATTGCTGCTTGGCAAAAGAAGCTTACAATGTCGCACTTGTAAAATGGATGACGCCAAGTTGGAGTTTCCCGCAACATCCACACATTGGCTTTCAGGCACAACGGCTGACACGACGTTGTCATCCACCGCATACACTTCCAGTGCATACGTGTTTTTTGATACTTCTCTAAAGCTGCAGCGGAGACTTGTGATCAGCAGCGGAATACTTATTTATCATTTATTTTTGTTTTCGTTATCATTTATCTCCTGGTTTTTTTCTAAATTGTGTTTTCTTGAGTATTACAACAATATCACATGATGCGTATTAGAGCGCTTTCTAATTAGGAGACTCGACGTGCAATAGATCTTCATGCACCTGCCTTGTCAATGCTCCCCCTGACACTAATACACCCGAAGAGTTGAATCCGAAGACAGCTTCTGTGAAAAGCACTTCAATGGGCACAATATGATTCTTCGTCTTTGCAGGAGAGGACGTGATGAGACGCACCTCTGGTCTCTCCATATCTGCATTTCAAAAACAACAACAAACAAATCGTGCATAATGTTTAGAGCACAAACTCAGCAGTTTATTAATTTGAAATAATATATCAATCTCAACCTTTGCAGCTGGGCAGATGTTGATGCAAAGAATTTTTCAGCTACACGATGAAGAAGAAAGACCCCCAATAATCGTTTATTAAGAAGTGATTAGGCTTTGAGACTGTACCATATAGAAATGTTGTACTGCTGATGCTCGGCACTAGTGTACCATACCTAGTGGCAACCACGTTGCCTGGAAGAGTTATGGTCACCACTGAAACTTTGCCGACGTTGCTCAGCTGCACAATTAGGACATGAATTTATGAATAGAGATAGTTTACTTGGGTACAATCTCCAAAGACTTTTCCACGGAAGTGATCTGCGTGTAAGAAAGTTGCTCTAAGAAATATGCCTCCTCTCTAGAAGTTGACACAATTCTTAGGCTATTCCAAGCCTTATCTCTGGAAGTTGACATGTTACTGTAAGAGAATACCAAGGCGCTTTAGCTTACCAGATAACCAAAACGCCGATTTGAAGCTGTTCTACGATGCGTTGCAGTGAGAACACCACTGCTCACATTCAGCAGACCCAACAGCCCTTCAGCAGTCGTGGTGATAGGCTCATTGAAGTCCAAATAGACTCTGAGATTGGAGGCTTTGTTAGTGACTTGAATCGTTCGATGTTCACTACCAATTGCAATATCGAAATCAGGAACAGCGGTCCACAAATTCACAATCGGTGCAGTTCGATCTGCAGACCAACAGCGAAAGCGAGTCAAAACCATCCATATTTTCAGTTTCAAACACATCAACATCTAACAGATAGTAGGCAGGATCACGAAAATCATGTTCCAGACCGACATTTTCGAATTTAAGGTAAAACTAGGAGAGCTTCATCGATGATTGCACATTTCGGAATCGAAGAAAACATACATTAAATTGGCGCTTACAAATCACTACTTGAAAGGAATTCCAAGAAAATATAGGTAGAATGTAAGGTCAAATCAAACCGAGTCTGCAATATTTAAGAATGTGGAAAGATCAATTCTGATACCATAGTGAATGACAAGCGAAGAATTCTCCTTCCTTTTGAACAGGTTTCCAGCTGCATCAGCACAAGCACTTCTCGCAAGCGCAACAACCACTCTGCCTCTTGGAACATCCCTGGAAAACTCGACAACCAAAGTGTATACTCGCCCCCTCTCTATTTCTTTCAGAGTGTAAGGGATAACAGTTCCCTCTCCGAACACCCGTAGCTGAGCAAGCCAGAAACCACAAGGTCAGGTACGTGACGTTCAAAACGAAATGGGTAACGCCAAGCTTAGCTGCTGGACACAAGCATTTCAAACTGATCAGTCCATATCTCCAGTTTCAGCACACGACTATTCACTCCATACATTTTCTGATCAACCCTACTTGGAATTTGTCAAACAAGCACTAGCTACAGAATCAAATTCGTTCCACCATGTACCTCACAAGAGCTGATGTTCGTGCAGACAAAGCCTCCTAAATTTTCACACTTTTCGCTAAAAGAAATGTTCACGGTAGCGTTCATTTCGTTTGAGTAGGAGCGACCTCCATCCAATACAGCCGTTGGAGGAATAGTGTCTACAGACATTACAAGAATAGCTTTGTGAGGGGCTAAGAAAGTCCAGAGGAAGGTTACATCGTAGCCTGCGAATGCAGCAACCCTACCAGAAGAAAGTAAAGCTGGATGGTAGAAGAAACAAGTGTTCGTTCCGATGCAAGGTGTGTGTCGGTTGATTAGGAAAGGCAGGTGTTTTCATGCCAACATGAATGAAAGCCAACTGGTCTGGTATTTCTGTGCTTACCCACAATCCAACTGAATTCTGATGATGCATGAGATCCATTCAGCACCTGTGCAAGTGCGGAAAAAACATGCTCGCCATCTGGTAAGTTTTGGAAGGAAGCTTGACCCCCGTGACAGTCTTGAAAGGCAGATTGATCTAGCTGCACACGCTCCCAACTGGCGTTGATACGGTGGCTTTTTCAACATGTAAAACATACTACCTCAAATGCTTTGTTCTGTTAGGAATTTCCCTGCTGTGGTTCGTAATTGACGAGTAGCTCGGAATTTTGCCATTAAATGCCGTCAGCTACCTCCTATGACACTAATTTCATGGAATCAAAGAATTATGATAATCCACTTACTTAGCATTAGTTACACAAGAACCACATTCAAGCATATATGCTTCCAAGTCTTACGAGTGCATCGATCTCGAAGCTTAATCCTAAATCAGTATGTAAATTTCAAAAAACCGACACACACCTTGCATCGGAACGAACACTGCTGATCAGTACAAGGATTGAAACCGTTTTTGTCCATTACATCGAAGCGGAATGTTGTGTTCCTGCTGGAAGAAATGCTCAAGGGCATCTCTGTGAAGGAGATCCTTAAGCTGCCTTGTCCATTCACGAGAACTGCACCAAGGGATGCCAGCAAAAATGCGTAATGCAACCACAGCGGGATCAATTTGCAGGTATCCATGAGCAGAGAGCTTGCGGAGCCTGTGTTCATACTTCTTCTGCTGGAGACGTTTTCCATGAGTGTCCTTCATCCAACTGCCGAGTCAAACACAAATGAAATGTTGAACCATAGAGGCATGCTGCAGTTGAGAGGCGGTGGTGCCGTAGACGAGAACAACGAACTGAAGCCAGAAGAAGCCATTCCCAGTATTGTATCATGTTGGCATAGTTGCTGAAAGCATGCGCACTCAGAAGCTGTAGATTCAGAGGGAGTAGAATCCCAGCGATGCAGAGCAAAGACCTACCAACTAGGAAGACTTCATTGTATATACTTCTACATTAGTACTAAAATCCACTCACGAGGCTTCAAAAGCCTTGGTAGCTTTGCCGACAATCTTTGAACAAAGATGTTGGAGCTGAAAGGCTTAATGTCCAACAATCCGAAGTGGCTGAAGGTAAATGTGGGTTCATTTTTCATCAATGTGAAGTCCTTCCATCTGGACCAAGGAATGCGGTGAAGTGTAGCTTCACCCAGTTGTTGCTAGAATCTCGATGGTGAAGGGTTAGAGTTGAGACGTCGAATCATAGGAAGAAGGAGAAGAAGAAGATGTCGTTCACAGCTATGTTTCTCTTCCAACATCTCTGCCCAGTTTGAAGTACAGCAGTAGAGAGAAAGAATGAAGGCCTCTCTCTCTCTCCCTCTCTCTCTCTCTCTCGAACAAGATTCAAACTCTTTGCTGCGTCACTCGGGAAATATATGTGTCGCTTCTTCTACTAATAGGTTGAAAAAGAGTGTTCAGAAGGGATTCAAACAAAAAGGCTTCCATAGCATCAATCCGCTGATGCCTCAGGTTTGTTTAGACGAGACATGTGATTCGTTTGCTGTGCAGATCAGTATACAAGTCTTTACCCCCTTGGTTTGCACCTGCAACATCAGCACGAAGACAACACCCACCTTTTCTTAGATTATAGGTACTTGAAGGTAGACATTTGTTTCCACAGTTGAGTGATATCTTCGGCCAGTCCATGTGCCAGTGTTCTGTTTCCCTCGCTCTAAAAAGCTCACAGAAACCTGGTCATTTCACATCGAAGCTTCGGTGACAGTTCAGTTTAGTTTTTTTACAACCACTCTTCGATCAGCAATGTCATAGGTCTACCAGCAATAACATGAAGTATCTTGGAAACAATCCATCCTCCACCAGAATAGGCATTTCAAGCAGAAGAAAGCTTTGTAAGTAACTTGCCGAAGTGCATAAAGCAACTTTTTGAATCCAAAATCTTCTAGCCCATACTATGTTTACATTAGCATCAGCCGGAACAGAAGCAAGTAAAAAAAATTACCCGCAAAACACCTCCCAAGATTCTTGCTAGGCATTGGAGTTTCAGAAATGATATACATGCGTTCACTAAAACCTGTGATTAAAATTTAAGCTTCAGGCGGAACAGCGCCTTGCTCTCAAGGAACCCATAATTTCCACAGAGATTTCAACTCCCCTATAAAAGAGATCTTTTTGAAAGGCTATGGGATCTCATGCATGGATAATGTGGTTTATAACCACGAAATTGAAATGAAACTCGACGTTGTGACAAGGCACATCGTTGCAAGGGTCCAAGGTATCGAAGGGAGAGATAAAGGTAAGACATCATCCGGATCGAAGGCCTCTATCCGCAACGTGGTGCCACTGTAGGAGGAGGAATTGTAATGACGTTGTACATAAGGAGATTAGGCAATGTGTCATCGAACAGTACGCAGAGCAGACGCTACCCTACCCAATAATAAAAACAAATAACAGGGAAATTCAACGTTGAATTCAACCTCTCTTCCAGTACACGCCCAGTAGATTAAATGCCGTGCGTAAACCAGGTCACAAGGTTTTCGCTCCAGCATTCTGGATGATGCAATCTGAGTAATTCTAGAGCTGTCGAGATCATGGAGAAAAAAACATCCTGACAAGACGGACTTCCTCACATAAAAACATCAGCAGCTTTTGACTTCATGGGTGGCACTAAACGAAACAGAAAGCACCTGAAAGCAACAGTTATGTGCCTACGCTACGGATAAAGCTTGTCAGCGACGTTGTACACCCCCCTCCCCCCACCTTAACGTACAATTATCATAGTTTCAGAGCCTTGGAAAATGCAACTCTGCAATGAAACCTCATTTGTCAATCACCTTCTAGCATGGGTGGACAGGGTCATCGACATGAAGGAGCTACGGCGTGGTTTTTAAGTGGCATTCAGCCTTCTGTTGTAGAAAAAAAGATCCTGTCCAGAACTGAGAAATGGGACGTTAGAAATCATCCACAGCTAAATCCTCCATACAAAGAGACACCACCTCATGACGTGTGAAACCTGGACCCAATAAATCCATAGCATTCACCTCCCTGGGTACTCAGAGCATAACTCACATGAGGAGTGAATAGAATGAAGATTGTCACCAGCGCATTAGTTTCGCACAAGAGAGCCGAACTCAGCTGTCTTACTTGGCACAGTCGAAAAAAACGGGTTTCTGATATTCACAAGCCGTGTCTTGGAATGAGAAAACTACCCAATGTGCTAGAAAACCAGAGCTGTTTCCGCAAGAGGAATCAATGGTCCAGACAGGAAGACACGTCGTCATGTCCTGGGCGCAACTTTCGACGCAGAGAGATAGAAGGAAGGAAGGGAGGGTGTGTGTATGGACTCACACATTAACTTTAACTAAGCTCACGCAAACCTTCTTCATCACCAACGAGAAAGATACTCTTACGTGAGTGACCTCACTTTGAAGATCCACCCTGCATTCTAGCTCAATTCCTGCAATGCACATCCCAATTTCGCATAAGGCAACGCGATTGTGCAACTGCAGTGTGCAGTTCCCCAAATATTTAGACGTACTGTCGCCGAAGTAAAAGTCCAATGCTAAAGCGGTTCAAACTTCTGCGCACCACAACAGCATCCCTTGAAACTGAATTTGAAAATGTACCTTGGCCATGTCCTCTTCGGCTACATGGTTGACTATCATCACTCCATCCCCCAACGTGTCTACTTTCTGCCAGTGCAGGGCCGTTGCGCGGAGAGAAACTCTATCTGTTCGAAGCGGAATTGGAGGACGAGAGATCAGCATGCTTCTTCGACCATCCGTCTGCAACCACTGTCGATTTTGCCCCTCTGGCCTCAGCAGCCTATCGCATATTCGAAACGTTTCAGATGGCGGCGACTGATGGATGAGAAAGGGGGGAAAGAGAGAGGAAGAGAGACAGTGCGGATTTACGCAAACCCTGCTGTTGAGGTCATAGCTCAGTAGGGCAACAAGCGAGTTGGTAGTCCTAGACTTCAAACTGATGTGCAGGTTTTAACCCAATTCGCCTCACTCGTCGCAATTTCCGACTCAGTTTCAATTGTTTGTTTATTTATACATTTATTTGTTGTGGGCTGTTGTGAATAAAATATTAACCTTCGCATTCGAAATTGAAGTACAGCGTCGAAGTGTGGGAAAACTCCAACGCCACCAGAATCGGTTACGAAGTAAGCATGGCTGCAAGGACCATAAAAAATCGCTGAAGTTCACGAATTTTGTAGTCACTGAGACTGGGGAGAGGAAGACTTACAATGACTGAAAATCCGGTTTCAAGTGTGGGAGCTGTACTGGTGAATTACCACTCTCTTGGTGTGCTATGGGCCCAAAATCCTTTGTACATGGACATCGATTGCATTGGCTATAAGTCTGGAAAGATCTTTGTCAAACGCCCCAAAAGCGTTTCACAGCTCACAGAAAGAAAAGAAAAAAGAAAAAAGAAAAAAAAAAAAAAAACGCACAAAAAAATATGCTTGTCAGTGGTTAAAACTCAGGCTAGACTCAAGCTTCCTCCTTGAAACCTGGCTGATGTTGTTGCTCCAATCTGGACTTTGCTCTTGAGTTTTCCGTTTTTTGTTGTTATATTTTTTACTGTGGACCACCCTCTCTCAAAGTGAATTCGATGCTTGAAAAGTCGTAAGAACTCGTCACTGCCATGCGGCGCAAGTAAGTCAGTAACCTAATTACTCCAACCACACAAAGACCAACCAGAGTGAGATCTTGCACTTGACGAGCGACGCAACAATAAAACCACAGCACCCCACCCCATGCAATCAATTTCCAGCTTGACTAGGTAATGAAACCCCATTGTGTCAATTGCTGTGTGTCTCCAACTGGCTGGCTGGCTGGCTGGCTGCTAGTACAGCGCTCACATGAAGTAGCGCAGCAGGATAACCACAGCGGTTGAGTCCAACTCTAGCCCCATCATCATGTGGGCGCTCTGACACCAACACGGCACAGCCAGGCTATGGCAGATCAGACCAAACCAGGCACAGCTCCCATTAACATCCCTTCCTCCCTGGGAGTGTAGTAACACCACCCCACCATAACATCCATCACCAGGTGGGGCAAAGGTTGGGAGTTTTGCAATTGGGTTCAGCCCTGTGTTACTAGGGGTGCTTGCTCACTTGCTTGCAGTCTTAGGGAGTTCTGTGAACCTGGCAGAGCCTGGATGGTTCCTGTTGGGGTGAAGCAGTGCAACCCATCACAGGCACAGGCACTGACTTAGGGCTCTCCCCTCCAAGCATGTGATACAAAAACAAAGCAGCAGGGGGGAGAGGAGGGACAAGTCAATTTGCAGACACACACATACTTGATTTTCATATGATGGGGGTACTATATCATCACTGGCCTGTGCTGCCCCCCATGGATTGCTGTGTCCCAACACACCCCCCCCCCCCAATTGCTGGGGTAGGGTACTACTACTGTGAGGAGGAGGAGGAGGCTGGGGAAGAGGGGGCAACTTCATGATAAGCAGCAGCAGTGCCAGTGTACACTGAAAATATAGGGCTGGTGGGGTGCCCCCCCTTGCTGTGCACACATACCTATCTTGGCTCCCTTACTGTCTGTCTGGGTTTGAAGGGGGGGGGGATTGGTTTCTGGGGTCCCCATTGAACACCCTTCTGGAAATTTGAAGCACACTGATCACAAGACTTGTTTGTCCTGTGGCTTGATCTTCCCACCCTTTGCCAAGAGTTTGGCATTGGCTCTTGTTTGGGGTGTGCATGTATTTGTTGGTCTTCAATGTTTCAGTCATGCTCCTGCATTGCTTCTACTAATATGTTGAAAAAAATTGTACCTTTCTAAACCACTAAAGATACTTTAAAACATCTTTATTCCTATTTGTAGATTTGATGATTTGGTTTTGGAAGTTTTTATGAAAGCACCTGTGTTCTGCATCAAATATGTTCTACTGTGAATGTGTTTCATTAATTGTCAAATCTATTTATTACTTTTTTAATATTGAAAGTGAGGAGTTTTTGGATTACTTAAGAAGTCAAAACTGCATTTGACCACATGGAGTTTAAGTGGAACATTTAAAACTCAAGGTTAGGCATGCATTGAATATAAGTATGTACTTACAATAAAAACAATCATTGAATAGCTGAGAGTGATGTTAGTTAGAAAAGATTTGAAAGTTTCTGCTTACCGTTATGTATGATCATGAAAAACCATTCCATGTGAATATATTGTTTTTTAATATTTTGAAAACAACATGTCCTAATGCAGAAAAAAAAAAAAAAAAAACAAAAACAAAAACAAATTTGAAATCAAGATGTGTATTTGTGCATGTATATATGGATAAAAGCATGATTCTTTTCAAGGATCTTTTCTAAGTTCAAACACTGTCTCATTTCAAACTTACTTGTTTTTGAAACAAGAAATGTATTTAAATATAAATTGTGTAAAAGAATTATATATATATATATATATATATATATATATAAACATACACACACACATAATCTTTAACAATTGCATTTAACCATTTAACCATGTTATTAACATAATATTAAACATTTAAAATATTTAAAGTTCACAAGCATTCACACCTATGTAATTATGATATCATAAAATCTAATTTGACCCAGTATTTTATGGATTAATTAATTTGTTTTAAATGGTTAATATTTATTTATTGAAAATATACTTAAATATTAATTATCATTTTTTTCAAAAAGAAAAAAATCAGAAATAATATATTATTGGTTCTAATAGATACATGAATAACTTATCAACCAACATAAATTTACATTGATTTACTTTTAAAATGAAAGATGATTATACCTATTAAAGACATGCAGTGTGTTTAATAAGTTCACTAATATTTTACCTTTGTATAATTACTTCGAATATTTTACTTTGCAGTTAAAATGGTTTCTTTTTTACTTTTTTTCTGTTAAAAAATTTAAAAGAACTCTTAGAATACCTAATCCATCCCACAGTACCACCATTCATATTACAAAAATACGTTCGTTGTATTCTGCACAATAACTTCATCCAACACTTTCATTTTAGTACCATATCCTTCTTTTGTGTCCACAAGTAGTAAAGTTATTTCTAATGAAAGAGCCAGTTTGGTCCACATTTGGATGTACCAATAAATTTTAATATCATTAATAAAATCAGTCGACAATAAAGAATGTGATTGATTTTGAAGTTTGATACGAAGCACAAACCAAAATTAAATTAGAAATAAAAACATGCAGACATTGATAAAAAAAAAATATGATTTTTATTTTTTAAAATGTTACAATCCAAAAAATTATTTTAATAGCATTAGAGTGGTGCCACTTGCTAGTAACTTACTAGTAACTTATCTGAAACTTACTAGTAACAGAAAGTGAGTCCACGGGGAGTGGGTTTAGATGACGCCACGGCTATCGGCCCTTCTTCTGCCAAACACATGCGCACAGGTACTGCTTTTTAGTGCCTTAAACCGCGTAAGACAAAAGGATACGAAAATGCACGAAAATCATTCATCCATGGAGCCCACGCTATTTACCGTCTGTAAAGAGGGCAAGGTAGATAATCTTCTCCTCCTCCTCACTCTTAGTAACTATATTTTACCTCCCTATACTGCCTAGACTGGGAGTACTGGAATCATGCGTGATGTCAGATGATGGGGACGGGCCGGGTGCGGGTGATAAAAACTCCCCATCACGGGCCCGGACGGTCAGCAGTTCCTGAGATGAAAAAGGCGGGGAACTGAACCAACGATGCATTCAAATTTGGATGAGACGCGGCGGATGTGACGAGGTGGGTTGTGTATCAAATTAAGCTTCATTCCTTTGTGCACTTCATAAAGGGGCTTCTAT